CCTTTGTCAGTGTATCCACGCTGTATGTGCTACCTCTCCACTGCTTAGCTGTAAGCCAGCGTATCCACCCTGTGTGCGGCCTCCCCACTGCTTAGTTGCTGTCTCAGCTGTCAGAGCAGCCGCTGAGGGACTGTGGTCTCTACATTCAAGTAATGCTTATTTTAGATTCCAAAGAACATGTGATGGATATAAGCCAGCCTCTTTCATGAGAGGCACTGGGAAAACTGAAAAGCCTCAAATAGAAGACTGGATCCATATCTCTATTTGTCATCTTGCACTAAAATTAATTCAAAGTCGGTCAAAGGACCTCAATGAAAGCCCTAAATTTTCAAAAATCTCAGAACAAAAAACTAGGGGAAAAAAAATCAAAATATAAGCATAGGATGACTTTCTGAATAGGACTCCACTCATTCAGGAAATAAATGCAAGAATTGATTTATGGTCTCACATTACATTAGAAGGCTTTGACAAAGCATCAGAAATGGCCACTAGAATAGGAAAAAAAAATCCTTGCTAGCTATTCAGACAAGGGATTAATATATAGAATATATAAAGAACTCAAAAACGCAAACAACCCAAATCAAAATATTCCAGTTCATAAATAGGCATGTGAGCTGAACACACAGCTCCCAAAAGTAGGAGCACAGGAATGGGGAGCCATCTCTGTCAGTAGCCTGGCTGCCACGAAACTATCTCCAGAACCCACGTTTAAAAAGCTGAGTGTGCCATCAGAATGGCTAAGATAAAAACTTCAAGTGACAATTCATGCTGGAGAGAATGTGGAGAAAGGGGAACCCTCCCCCATTGCTGGTGGGAATGTAAACTTGTACAACCACTTTGAAAATCAATCTGGTGCTTTCTTAGGCAATTAGGAATAGTGCTTCTTCAAGATCCAGCTATACCACTCCTAAGCATATATCCAAAATATGCTCAAGTACACAGCATGGACATTTGTTCAACCATGTTTGTAGCAGCTTTATTCATAATAGCCAGAACCTAGAAAAAACCCAGATGTCCCTCAACGGAGGAATGGATACAGAAATTGTGGTACATTTACACAATGGAGTACAACTTAGCAATTAAAAACAAGGAGATCATGAAATTTGCAGGCAAATGGTGGGAACTAGAAAAGATCATCCCTGAGTGAGGTATCCCAGAAACAGAAAGACACACATGGTATATACTCTACTCACTTATAAGTGGATACTAGACATATAATATAGGATAAATCTACAAAAATCTGTACACCTAAAGAAACTGAGCTAGAAGGAGGACCATGGGTAAGATGATCAATCTTCACTCAGAAAGGCAAACAGGATGGACATTAGAAGAAGGAGAAAACAGGAAATAGGACAGGAGCCTACCACAGAGGGCCTCTGAAAGACTGTACCCAGCAGTATATCAAAGCAGATACTGAGACTCATAAAAAACAAACAAACAAACAAAAAAAAAGCCTTTGGGCAGAGTGCAGGGAATCTTAGGAAAGAAGGGGGAGATAGTAAGACCTGGAGAGGACAGGAGCTCCACAAGAAGAGCAACAGAGTATCTGGGCCCAGGGTCTTTTCTGAGATTGATATTCCAACCAAGGACCATTGATGGATATAACCTAGAACCCTGCTCAGATGTAGCCCATGGCAGCTCAGTCTCCAAGTGGGTGTCCTAGTAAGGGGAACAGGTACTGTCTCTGACATGAACTCAGTGGCTGGCTCTTTGATCACCTCCCCCTGATGGGAGAGCATCCTTACCAGGCCACAGAGGAGGACAATGCAGCCAGTTCTGATGAGACCTGATAAGGTAGGGTCAAAAGGAGGCAGAGGACCTTCCATACTGGTTTCTATGAGTTGGAAGCCAGTCTCGTCTACACAGTGAGTTCCAGGACAGCCAAGGCTGCTAATGAAACCCTGTCTCTAAACAAAACAAAACAAATTGAGATTCAACCTTATCCCAGTTACAATGGGTATCATTAAGGTTCTGGAGGCAGTGGTCAGGATGCCAAGGAAATGGGAATCCTTTATATATAAAACACTCTGTCTAGTCACTATAGAAATCAGTATGGAAGGTCCTCAAAACCTTATGGTCCATTTGCACCACTTCTGTGTACCTGATCATGCAGCTCACTATAGAGATTCATGCACACCCATGCTCATTGCTGCAGCATTAATAATAGAAAGACAAAATTATGTTGTTAGCAAGGAAACGGATAGAACTCAAGACTATCGTGTTAAGTGAGATAAACTAGTTTTACACAGACAAATAGTGCATGTTTTCTCCTGGATGTGGGGTCTAAGGACAAAGAGCAAAGACCCTGAAAGTACAAGCAGGAGTATAAGGGAGGTGAAAGGGAGAGTGGAGAGGAATGGGAAGGACTAAGAAAGAGTAGAGACATGGTGATTATGCTTGATTGAAGTACATTATGAGAATGTAATAATTAAATGTTATAGTGGAACATTGTGAGTGTATATGTGAGAGAGAGAGAGAAAGAGGTGGGGAGAGAGGAAAGGAAGGAAGGTAGAAAGAGGCAGAAGAAACAGAGAATGAACATCAGCCTTGGTTGCACACTCCCATAATCTAAGTACTTGCCTGGTTGAGGTAGGACATTGAATCTGAGGGCAGCTTGGGTAACAGAGAGTGACCCACAAAACCAACTACCACCAGTAACCTTTATTTTACTTAATAATGGACTTGGAGTTCCAGAGTGGTCTTGTTTCTCGAGATTGCTGTTGATATCTTACTGCATCTAATTTATAAATAAAATTACCATTGGCGTGTGTTTCTAGCCGAAAACAGAGTATGCAGTCTTTGCTATCCATGACTCAGGTACCAAAGGGGACTCCTGGAACATATCCTTGCAGCACAAAGAACCACCCTGGGTTCAGTGCCGCCCATGGGACCAAAAGCAGTATCTCTTAGGAACTCACTAAAAATGCATATCCGTGGGGTTCTACCCTCAACCAACTGAATCAGAAACACTGTAAGTAGGGCCCAAGCTATTATAATAAGCCCTTCAGATAATGGCAAAACATATTGAAATTTAGAAATGTCCCTTGAAGATTTCATTTATTTATTTATTTACAATGTATTCACTTTTTGTCCCAGCTGTAGCCCCCTCCCTCATCCCTTTCCAATCCTGCCATCCCTCATCTCCTCCCATGCCCTTTCCCCAATCCACTGATAGAGAAGGTCCTTCTCCCCTTCTATCTGACCATAGTCTATCAGTTCTCATCAGGACTGACTGCATTGTCTTCCTCTGTGGCCTGGTAAGGATGCTCTCCCATCAGGGGGAGGCAGTCAAAGAGCCAGCCACTGAGTTCATGTCAGAGACAGTCCCTGTTCCCCTTACTAGGGAACCCATTTGGAGACTGAGCTGCCATGGCCTACATCTGTGCAGGGGTCCTTGTTTGGAGTATCGGTCTCAGAAAAGATCCCTGTGCCCAGATTTTTGGTTCTGTTGGTCTCCTTGTGGTGCTCCTGTCCCTTCCAGGTCTTTCTATCTCCCCCTTCTTTCATAAGATTTCCTGTAAGATTTTGAGTTCTAAGACTGGACTAGAAAAATTTCTCAAAAACTATAGCCTGGCCCACTGACACAGACTTACAATCCAGCTATCTCAGAAGCAGAGACAGGAGGAAACAAGTTCAAGGGCCTACAGGTGCTGCAGAGAGAAAGGTAGCCTTAAATGACACCCTGCTTCAAACTAAAAATACAAAGGAGACCAGGGATGTTGCTCAGTGGCAAAGCACCTGCCTTGTGTGTAAGACCCCAGCTTCAATCTCAAGACCATGTAAAAAGAAAAGAGAAAGGTCTGATGTGGTGGTGCACTTGGGAGTCAGAGGCAGGAGGATCTCTGCAAATTTGAATCAAGTCTTGTCTACATAGTGAGTTCCAGGGCAGTCAGAGCTACATAGAGAAATGAGAGAGAGAGGTGGGAGAGGAAAAATAACCCAGTGCTCTTTCTCATGCTGTTTTTCACTCTTTCTCTGTCCCCTTCCATACACATTCTGATACCTTTGGTTTTTTCAGATGTTCATGTTGCTTCCCTATGAGGTAGCCCATAGAGGTGGGTCTCAACAGTGACCATTGTTCACTGAGTGCATCACTTAGTTACGATGCAGGAAATCTATGTAAAAGATCTCATTTCACTTACTTTGATTCTTCATTACAACCTTAAAAAGCAACTGTTTATGTTGTCCCGGCTTTACAATCAGGAAAGATGAAACAAAGACAGAGCGCTATTCCGGGCCCCGCCTTCTTACTACACCCTGCCTCCTAACGTGGTACAAAGGACAAACTTCGAAAGTCACCTCTTAGGTTAAGGAAGGCTCTGCTCTCACAGCCTAATTGTCTTTCAAAAGACTCTGGCCTGAAAGCCATCACTGGGGTGGGGGTAGATGAGATTTTAACATGAACTTGGGAGTTGGGACACAACCATTCAGACCCCTGCAGAGGGAAAGCAGGCTAAAACCGTTCATCCTGGTGCTCACTGCTCTTACTGCCCTCTACCACCTTTAGCCACAGGGCCCTAGAAACAAGGGCACCTGCAATTACAACGCTTGGATCTGAAGACAGGGACAACCATTGGCTTTCACTGTCAGCACCTTGGGCTTCTAATGGAAAATCAAGTGTGTAAATATTACTCATGGTATCAAGTGAAGAAAAAAAGCTATGTCAGTTATAAAGCCCACCACGCTGGCATTTGCACTTTTAGATGTTGTAACCATTATCTGTAGCCTGTATCTGGGTTGGAAACAACAGGGTGTTTCTGAAGCCTGGGTACCACTATGAGTCGTCCAGTGTGTGCAGTAACATAATCTACTAGGGCTGTGCTGTGGGATAAACATAAAAACTTTGGATGTTTCTGCTTGCACAGCCACCCCTTTTCTAGCAACTGCACAGCATAGTAACGATTCCCAAAGGACACACTGTGGCATTGTTTTTGAAAAGTCCCAGTGTGCCCTCCTGCCTGCACAAGCCCCTGACGTTTCTTTCCCATCTCGCTTTGCAGTCACAGCAGAAGTGCATCGTGATCTTCGCTCTGGTCTGCTGCTTTGCGGTTCTGGTGGCGCTGATATTTTCAGCTGTGGACATCATGGGAGAGGATGAGGACGGACTCTCAGAGAAAAATTGCCAAAATAAATGTCGGTAAGAGGTAACAAACAAAAATTCTCTTTTAGGGAGTGGGTGAGAAGGTCAGGGAGGGACCAGGACAGGGAAGAGAAACGTCTGCTCAGATCCGTTTTCAGCACCGAGGCCTCACTGTCTCTGCAGAGATGCTCGTGTTTAGTTCAGGAACTAAACATGATTGATGAGTTTGTTCGCTTTACAGCTTGCTTGGCCCTATTCTACACAGAGAGGTAGCTGTCCAAATAAAATGTTTGGACTGTCTGCATTTTTGGAGACTTCTGTGGATGACATTTTGATCCACTCCTCGATAAAGCCGGGCAAATGCCAAGTGCCCCAAGGGACCGAGACCTCAGTTCTAGGTGTTGATACAGCGCAAGTTAACATATACATCTTAGAGCATGTTCTGTCGGGTTAGAACAGGAGCTGCCCTCGTTCCAGCGCCTCAGCATGCAGTTATTTGCTTATTCGTTTTAATTTAGGGGTTTCAACAGCCTTACTAATCACTTCCTATCACAGACGAGATCTTGAGATCTCAGTAATTCATGCCAGGGGTCCTCTACAACTCATTGCCTACTGGCAGATGTGGTTATATGTTGTGCTGTCCACGTGGTGACGAAATCAACCAAGGATGTGTTTCTCAGAATGTGTCCCCACCCTTGCACGTACATGGCTACATTGTGTCACTTCAGTTACATCGGGAGCATTTACCTCCCTTGGATGGTTCTTCGCTTATAGAGCTATCAAGGCAGGCATTCGTCCGGAGAAATGTCCTCTTCCACGATTCCCTGAGATGCGACATTTTACATTTTGCATGTAGTATGTACACATGTATGTATGTATTATATATTTGTGTGTCTGTGCATTTGTAAATATGTGGGCACATGTTCAAGTGGAGGTCAGAGAACTACCCATGAGTGTTGATTCACTCCTTCCAGGGATTGAACCCAGGTCATGAGGCTCTGTAGTAAGCATTTTTACCTACGAAGCCATCTTACTGGCCCTGACTTTTTTTTATTTTTGAGGTTCGGGAGTGAGGTAGAAACATACATACCAAGAAGAGGCTGTTGTCAACGCCAAGCTAGGAAACATGACTGCTCATGCTGATGCAAACTACAGTTCAAGCGCATACTCAGCTACACTTCGCCATTTCTGTCATAATTTTGTGGCCCCAGCTCAGCTTTGCAGTGACACTGACGTAAAAAGAGATCATGTTGACAGTATCCTGGTAATCGATGCAAACATTTCATCTTGAGTATTTTGCCTTGAAATTGAATGTTCTGGAAGCGAAAAGAGCGGGAGAAAGAAATCAGCACCCATTTTGGATTTCTGTTCTTGGTATTAGAAACACACATCTTAATTACATTTCTTTCTTGGGGTAATAAGAGAACAGCTGAACTGTGGTCATTCTAAGGAGATCAATAGAACAATCACACATGTCTGTCATCTTCTGCTGATGCTGTTTGTCACACATCAAATCTGAACACCAGTGGATGAGGGGCCGGGGCAGACCCATAGCTGCTGAATGCAAACACTGTGCCTTGCTCTTTCATCTTCTCTGCCAAGGAGACCCCCTCAGTACTGCAAAGCCCAACATCTAGGAAGAAATTTTACGCTGGCCAAAATACAAAACTTGTTTAAGACAAAATATCCAGGCATTTTCAACCCTCACTAACAGGTCTTGGTAATTTTTAAAACCAATAACAACAAATATGGCGTAGTTAGAGTTGCCTTTTATTTTACTTAGAAGAAGGTATCATTTACCCTAATATTTTTCTTTTTATTTTTTTATTATTTTTTTCATACAGCATATACTTGATCATATTCTTTCCCCTCCCCCAGCTTCTCCCAGATCCTCCCCACAGGAAGGAGAATGAGTGGAGACTAGAATATTTTCTAGGTGGCACTGTACTGTACTTTCGGTATCTGGCTACTTGAGATAGGAAACACTACCAGGCTCAGATTCCAGAGGCACAGATTAAAAGCAAATTTTTTTGTCATTTTTCTGTGTGTGTATGTGTGTGTGTGTGTGTGTGTGTGTGTGTGTGTGTGTGTTTTCTGCTGTTGTTGTTTCTGTGTTTTGAGTTTTGGTGGTGGTGGTATGGTGGTTGGTGGTGGTGGTGTGTGTGAGAGAAAGAGGGGAGGGGAGAGGGAGAGAGAGGAAAAGTAGCAACAAACAAACAACCCCTTTCCCATGAGAATGTGGATTCTCTGATTAGTAGATGCCATCCTTGTAGCTCTTCCAGGACTTTCTGCCCCTCGCATCTTTCTTCGCAGCCTCCTTCCCACACCCTGCATTTCTGTTTGTAGTCTGTACTGTCAGCCATTTTGTGGCTTATTGTGTATCTTGCTCCCCACACCCACCAAGTGCATTCGGTTGTCTCTGCTTTTTCTCCTCTCCAATGCACGGGAGTAGAAGGTAGAGTCCCTGTGAGGCCCTATACCTGGATTCTCTTTCCCCATCATTGTTCCACCATCTTTTCTGACCACTGTTCCTTGAACTTGATATTTTCTGACAGCAGCTACTACTCCCCATCACCATAGGTGACATCATCTTCAGACCTTCATGGTCTGCTTCTTTGCTTGTGTCTAATATACTTCTCCCTACCGTCAGTCTCATCCTTCACCCACATCCCTGGTAACTTGAAAATGCCCTAGCCCAGCAGTTAGCCTCGCCATTACTCAGCCTGCACTCACATTTCCTAAGCAACCAGCAAGCTACCCTAGGTCATCAGGAAGATGCGCCAGAGGGCCAGGGCTTGGAAAGAATAAGGATCTGAACCTAAACTGCATTCTGTCCTTTCAGAATCCTCTTGGCTAAGGGGCGAGGTTAAGTCTCTTGTCTAACCGAGAGAAACCCCAAAAGATATAGCAAGGAATTCTAAAGCAGTTAGTGAGTCTGTCGCAATACACTGTGGCCAGAAATACAATGGGAATACCCAAAGGATGTGGGGAGTGACCTGACACGGTACAAAAAAAGTCTGTCCTATGAATACCAACTCACGAGAACATTCAGAACTTATTGTAGCAGAAACCGATCTTACAAAGGGAGTCAACATCACCAGAGGCGGGCATGTCTGTGGGGTGGAAGGAAGCTGTAAGCTTTCTAAGGGGAAACAGCTCACATGTGGCAGCGTGAGGTCAGGAGGGTGATTTGTGACTGTTTAGAGGAATGTGCTTGGCTCTCTCTGGTTGGCCCTGGAGGAGGGATACAAATCAGGATTGCTGGGAGTTACTAATCCCTAGCCTTTTGGGACCAGTGATCATTTAAATTACTGTTTTGCCATCTGCACCGTTGCTGGAGATAACAGTCTCATTTCCTATAGGCCTGGCCCGGTGGTACAGAGAATAGGTTTCCTGGGCAAGTTGCTGCAAGTTATGGCCAGCGTTGAGTTACGTTCCACTTATGGTCTGGCTGTAATTCCTTTGTATATTCAGCCTTTGTTCCACAAACTTCCCCTGTACTTAACAGCCTCTTTCAAGTGTTCATTTGCTTGTTTTAGTTTTTTGAGAAAGGATTTTATGAAGCCTCATCTGGCCTTGCCCTGCCTCTGCCTCCCAAGCACATGGGCTGCAACACTGACTAGGCTCTTCTGTTTTAATTTTGCACAGCCCTCTGCTAGACCACAATGTACACATCTCCATGCTTCCTCAGCACCAAATATGGCTTGCCTTCCTGGAGCTTTTGCTTCAAGCAGGCTGCTAATTTGTACCCTGGTTCCACCCATTCTTGTCCTCAGGGTGGTTGGGCTCTGTTTTCTAGCTCTGCATCCCTCCAGGACCAGATGCCACTAGTAGAAGGGACCAGGCTGCTGCAGCAGTGCTGCACCCCTGAGTTCCTGACCCTGGTGCAGCCCGGCAGGAGAAGATGCTCCCCAGAAGGCTGTCACCAGCCTCGGCTTCCATGCACATCCAGGCTCCTCCCCTCTCTGCCTCATCCCTTCTCTGGCTCTTCCCAGGCTTTATGGTGGCACTTGTTGGATTGAGCGACAGTCCTCTCCAGCGGCTGTGATCTCACAGAGAGACAGTTTCTCTGCAGGCTTCCCTATTCTTGGTAGTAGTGCCAGACACAGAGCCCTGTGCAACCTTCACTGAGATCTACCTGGAAATTAAACTCTGCCTGTGTTTGTCTCTCTGCTCACTCCTTAAAGCTGAAAGCAGCCTAGCAGCTGCAGCTCTCAACTCCGTGTCTTGGCAGTCTCTTCCCAAGTTCTTTTCCAAATATCTCCCTGTAATCTGTCTTGTCCCACTCCCTAGCCCATCTATCCTATGATGGACCTCACATCTGAATCACACTGCTCAGTCAGCTACCCCGACACTTATGTTTTTGTTAACGTGTTTCACCGCGATCTTTTCTGTCTGATTTGCTCTATTTCTCTGTCCCACATGCTACTCTTCTGCTGTATGACTGTACTAATAGGAGATAATCATACACTCTCCTGTGAGTTTCACATGTACATCTATAAAATTCGAATTGTTCAAAAATGTTCCTCCCAAACCTCTTATTTTTTTAAGTTTAAAGATGGGATCTTGCATTGCCAAGTCTGGTTATTCTTGTGGTTAGATTTGCATTTCTCTGCTATTCTTCTATTTTGAGACTTTCCACTTGTAAGGACACCTGCCTTCTTGTCATCTCAAGACTCCTGGTCCAGAATCACAGCTCACCTTGAGTCTTCATATTTTTCTACTTTCTACATATACTTGGCCAAGTCTTTTGTGGCAACTTTGGCTCCTTTGGTGGCATTGGTGCTTTTGGTTCTTTCATTGAATGTCAGGCTAGATTTAAAAAAGAAAAATACTGAGAACAAGAACCCACAGTTGTATCCCCTGCCTTATATAGCACTCCATAGCTCAGCACTAAGCTTTTTATTTTAATTTTATTTTTATTAGTTACAATTTATTCACTTTATATCCCCCCTGTAACCCTCTCCCTCCACCCCTCCTAACCCCACCCTCCCTTGCCCTTCTCTATCCAGGCCCTTCCCCCAGTCCACAGATAGAGGAGGCCTTTCTCTCCTTCC